GGAGCGCATGAAGTCCATGTCCCAGTTAGCGGTTCTGACCCGTCGCTGGTGCCCAGCCCAGATGAACCTGGAGGCCTTCCGGGAGGTGGTGCTGGAGAGCAGCAGCGTAGAGGAGCTCAAGGAGAAGGTATGTGGAGTATGAAATGCTTGGAATTCTTTGTTTTCCTGGTCCCACTTTATATTAAGTGGCCTTAACTACTATGTACTTACATCAAAAATAAGTACAATGTACTTAGTGTGTTCATATTGTATTGCAAAACACTTCTGCTGCTATTGAGGTGCGATATGGGTATGGTTAGGGACAGGTTTGGTGGTATGGGTAGGTTTAAGGGTGGGTTAAGGTGTAAGGGATGGGTCATCATTGTAATTATAAATGTAATTACAGAAAATAATTACAGATGTAATTACATGCAGGAATTTTTAAAATGTAAGTAGATAGTTGTTAAGGCCACTTAATATAAAGTGGGTCCGTTTTCCTCTTCATTTGAGTGTTAATGTCATATTTTGTTCCCTCAGCTCAGTGAATTGAGTGGAATTCCTCTTGAGAACTTGGAGTTTGCCAAGGTACAGCAGTCTTTGCGTATCAGATTTACATTTACATTTTACAGATTTGGTTGAGTTTCAGATGCCCTTCCTGCAGTGCTTCAGATCTGACTGTCTTGTTGCTCCTACAGGGACGAGGAACTTTTCCTTGTGACATGTCAGTGTTGGAGATCCATCAGGATTTAGATTGGAATCCTAAAGTCTCCACCCTCAATGTCTGGCCACTCTACATCTGTGATGATGGCGCCGTGATCTTCTACAGGTAAAGCCTTTCCCTTTCACATATAAACTTGATTATTAGTTTTTAAACTAGTTAAGTAATGAAATTATATATTCAAAAATACAGACTGGTTAGCTGGTTCTATGAATTGGCTATATTATATTATATTATATGTGACCCTGGACTACAAAACCAGTCATAAGGGTAAATTTTCTGAAATTGCATATACAGCACAGCTGAATAAATAAGCTTTCCATTGATGTATGGTTTGTTGGGATAGGACAATATTTGGCCGAGATACAGCTATTTGAAAATCTGGAATCTGAGGGTGCAAAAAAATCTAAATATTGAGAAAATCGCCTTTAAAGTTGTCCAAATGAAGTTCTTAGCAATGCATATTACTAATCAAAAATTAAGTTTTAATATATTTACGGTAGGAAATTTACTAAATATCTTCATGGAACATGATCTTTATTTAATATCCTAATGATTTTTGGCATAAAAGAAAAATCGATAATTTTGACCCATACAATGTTTTTTATTTTTTTTTTTATAAATCTATTTTTATAATTTTATTTTGTAATATTCTATTGCTAAAAATATACCCCATCGGCTTAAGACTGGTTTTGTGCTCCAGGGTAATTTAATTTAATTTAATAATTTAATTTAATTTAATTTCCCGTTTTAACAATGTAGTTTTAATTGTTAAATATCATTGCTGATTTTCTACAAGCTTTGTATTGTTACATTTTCAGAATCAACCAGTTTGTGAGTTGTCCAAAAGGCTAGTTTAGTTGGTCCTGTGAAAACTCTTTACAATTAGGCTAGTGTATGTTAGTTATGTTAGGCTGGTTATATATTACATTTATTTTTATTTTATTGAATGAGTGTTGAATTGTTTTAATAATGTAGTTTTAATTGTTCAAGAACAACTTTTTCAAATTTCAACCAGCTTTGTATTGTTACAATGTTGGTAGTGTATGTAAATGAACAATGTGTACTTATTTGTTGTTGTTGTTGTTGTTATCTGCATCCAGAGATCCCTGTTTAGTTTTTTTTGGCAAAAGTCCACAAAAAGTGTCATCTAGCTGTCTTAAGTCCTGGTTAAATAATCATCTTTTAAAATTTTTTTTATAGCAATGTTATATATTTGTTATATTCATATATTTTATAAATTATTATGATGTTATATATTATATTGTTTAGTAAATATGTATTTTTTTTTAAATAATAAAGTAAATTAATATTTTTATAACAATATAAAATGTTAATAGATTTATTGCTATATATTTTAAATGATTTTTTTATAAATTACTTTTTCGATTTATGTAAATTTGTCATGAATAATAATATATGAATTTATATTATCCTTAATGTAAATCCACAAGTCAAAATTATAAATTAGTTGCTTTAAATAAAACTACCTTTAATTTAAATATTAACATTGCTATTAAAGATAAGATAAACCGACTAGTCATCTTAATCTGTAATTAACTAGTTGCTTGTTGGTCAATTAGTCAACCATGCATTTCTGCGCCCGTCTCTGCAGGGACAGCACCGAGGAGCTCATGGAGCTGTCTGAGGAGGAGCGCAATGAACTGATGAAGAAGGAGAGCAGCCGCCTTCTGAAGACGGGCCACCGGGTCAGCTACTCCCCCCGCAAAGAAAAGGCCCTCAAAATTTACTTAGACGGAGGGCCCACCAAAGACCCTGGACAGGACTGAGAGGGGGAGGAAACTATCCTTCCCTATTTTCTATCTGGCCTGCCAGCTGCAGTGTAGCGCTGCCTCGCCAGCGACCTTGGCGTTTGGGCCCCACGTTGAATCAACGTCACCAGTGCTGTCCGGCTGACGCTCTCTTCTTTGAGCTCCAGAACGCATAGTGTGGCTCAGAGTACTATTGTGCACCATAGTTTATTGTACTGTAAAGTTTAAAGGGAAGTGCAAAAGCTATTTCAAGTTCAATATCATTCAGATAAATCAATTTAATAATACAGAGACGGGTGCACTCGTTAGAGGAAAGGGGGCAGTTTGGGAGAGATATTTTATGGCCCTCTTCATTTCTTTCGTCTGTTTGCACTCTCAGTGCACCATCTCCATTGATTTTCATCCCGTCGTTCTGCATTTGCTGTTTGTCCATCACTCACTCTCTGATTTTGAGATGCGATCGCACGCATCGAATTCTCACGCTCTCGACGTCCATCATCCTGAGTCTATTCAGCACTTGAGCACAGCGCGTAACGTATCCAGCCACCTCCGAACGCCCGCGGGGTGACGGCACTACTCATCTTCCATTGCGTAGAGCTCTTCGATCGACACTTTCACTTGAAGTTTTGGGTATGATGCTCTCACTTGAATATTGGGATATCTCTCCTTTTGTTTATTTAACATAGTTGTGAAATTAAATGCTTCTTTTCTGGCTGAAGAGGTTCTATTCTTGCAGTTCATGCTTCCTTTTGTGTGTGGGTGTTGCCTACTGACTGCTGAAGCTCCGCCCACTTTGTAGGGAGCTACGCCCTCCTCCTCTCACTACACTTCCTAATGGGGCTAGTGACACTGGTACATATGAATTTGCAAGCCTTTAAGAGTAGGGCGATATGAATCAAGTAGTGCGCTTCGTTCACTCGATTCATTTTTTTGTTTTTGTTTTTTCTTGTAAATTATTTCACTACAGACTGATGACAACGTTAGGTCTTGTGAGTGACTTTTAATGGCACGTGTTTTAATTTTTTGATCTGTACTCGGCTTTTCTTTTTCCATTTAGACATGTCATGTGTTCTTTTTCGTTTTTGGTTTTTATTTCTGCACAATGTGAACAGAGCCTGTGGGTTCGGATGTGGCAGGTTTGCGTGTGTGCATGCGTGGAAATGCTTCTCGCTGCTGTTTTCGCATAGCTGGAAAGCGGAGGGTGCGGACGCCCCACTGGAGGAGCGCCAGTGTCGGAGCTCGACCGAACCGCTGTGGGTTCCTGGGCTCCTAATGCTGCCAGAAGCTGTTCACAATAGACATGCCAATACTGAAATAAAAAGCATCAATCTCTGTCTGCCTGCTTCCAGGTTGACGTATACGAAGAGCTCATATTTTAAAGAAGAATATATGATCTGCTATTTTATGGGGTTATATAAGGAATCAAATTTAGCTTGATTTTATGAAATTATACTAAAAATTATATAAAACTATGTTAGCATACTATAACCTACAAAACATTAAGATGTCTTTAAAAGGGATAGTTCACACAAAAATGATTTTTTTTTCATCATTTACTCACCCTCAAGTTGTTCCAAACATATAAGAGTTTTTCTTCTGTTGAACGTAAAAAAGATATTTTGAACAATGTTGGTTACCAACAGTTTTGGGGGTAACGCATTTCAAGTAACGCGAGTTACGTAATCAGATTACTTTTTTCAAGTAACTAGTAAAGTAACGCATTACATTTTAATTTACAAGAGAATATCTGAGTTACTTTTTCAAATAAGTAACGCAAGTTACTTTTTTTTTTTTTTCTCCAATTTATTGATTGACAGCTCTCCTGTCCCCATGTTGAGAGAAATCAGAAGATATTACTGTAGTTCTAAAATAAATATGAATATGCATTAATTCATCTCACCCACAAATAGGTGTTACTGTAGTTCTTTCTACAATAAATATGAATATGCATTAATTCATTTCACTCACAAAAAAAACAACAACACTGATTCTGTATTCCTCAAAATGAATAAAAATAATGCAACTCAGAATATGACGCAAACCTGCAATAATTAAATGTTAAACAACACAAATATCCTTTATGTATTTAATCCCATTCTATTAACCAATGTCTTTGCTTCTGACCTTCGATGATCCAGTTCAACCATACTAATAAGCAAAAATTACTCTAGACAAACATTTGTGTGTCTTTTTTTATTGCTGAAGTGTGTTGAAATTTCTTCTTCTGCATTCTACTGTACGGATGTAAATTTACTTTCCCTTCAGCTTGAGGCTTATTCATTTCACTTTTCGTGTGAAAAGGCTTTTATATTTGTCAAAAATATAACTTTTTTACTTTAAAAACAAACAAGCAAGCCCTGTCCAGATTTAAAAAGTAACGCAAAAGTAACGTAACGCATTACTTTCCATAAAAAGTAACTAAGTAACGTAATTAGTTACTTTTTTATGGAGTAATGCAATATTGTAATGCATTACTTTTAAAAGTAACTTTCCCCAACACTGGTTACCAAACAGTTGACGATAGCCATTGGCGTTCATAGTATTAAAAAAAATACTCTAGATGTTAATGGCTACCATTTTTCGGAATATCTTCTTTTGTGTTCAACAGAAGAAATTCTAAAATCTTCAGAACAACTTGAGGGTGAGTAAATCATTTTAATTTTGGATGAACTGTCCCTTTAAGCTGCAAAAATGGTTCATTCATAAATAGTACTGATTTCTCATGTGCCGGTGGTGTTTGCGTAGTCTTAAGGTGTGGTCACATTAACGGCATTTCATGCAAAAAAATGTCCATTGGCTGTTGTCAAGTATAGCAATATATAAATCACAGCTCAAAAAGAAGCTGTGATTTGGGCAATGGGCAGATCCACATGACCAACTTGAACCCAATCTGCAAGGGGAAATCTTTGCCCTTGTGCAAAATTCACAATTGCATGGATGAATTCCTATTGAAATGGATGCATTTAGTCTGCGAAAGTTCTCCGAACTGACATTAAATTTTAAACCCACACTTTTAAGGTGAAGTCACTTTAGCAATGTGTAGGCAATTTTATGGGCAAAAAAAATGTCTGTTGTTAATAGTGTAGCCATGGTTGAAGCATAGCTCACACAGAAGTCATTTTCAAACCAAGCCGCTTTTTTATTGGTTAATACAGTGAATTCATGTGACCAAATTGAATGCATTGTGAAATCTGCATGGGGAAATCTTTCACTCTCATGCGAAATTTGCACAGATTCCTATTGAATTGACTGGATTTCGTCTGTGAAAAATTTGGCAAACAACAGTAAATGTGACCACACCTTTACATCTTTTAACTCTCAACAAAAAACAAAAAAATATTGCAACTAATATAAGTGGATTTCTGTTGAAAAATTCAAAATATTATATATAAAAGATATAAACAACGTTTTTTTTTTTTCAACCTTTTATTTTCTGGAGCAAGTTTGTGTTCATTACGTGGGTAAATTAGAGGTTTCTTGTATGGGTGCGTCACTTCGGCTGCTACACTAAACTAAGATGGGATTGGCTCTCAACAGAGTTTTCCTCTTTCCATTTTTCTGCCTGATGTATTCTTAAAGCATTAATACTGTACATTAATAATAAGTGCTTCTTTCCAGTGCTCAGAAGCCACAGTTGAGCTTCAACACTTGAGGGCTGTTCACACTGACAATGATTTGATCTGCTGGATGCCCAAATATTACTGCTGGGCTCCCTTACGGGCCGTAGCTTTGAAAATCGGATCATAAATCCAATTAAACAAATCATCATCCTATGCAAAAGCGGATGAATCAAAGTCGCAGGGAATGTAACTCACTCAACTACAGTATCTCGCATGTGACTGTTGCATGAAGTTTTGTCGTGTCATTTGATGCCTCCAACCATCACTCATGTCCTCTCAAATCGCCAACTTTCTTTGGAAATGAATGGCTTCCAGGCAGCTTGATACTTTCAAATCGCCGTCAGTGTGAACGGTCTTTAGATTCAGGCCTTCTGCTGCACATTCACAGCTGTTTGGGTGATTATAATGAAGGCGTTTCCTACAAAGCTTTGGAGTGACGATGAAGCGTTCATGTCTGTTTCAGCAGCTTCTCTTCATCTGTCTGTCAAACAGGCTCGAGTCTCACTAGACGATGTAGTCAATCTCAGAGTAGAGAGTGTCAGTGAGCTCCTCCTCGCTGGAGTTCTGACTCTTCAGGCACAGTGCACCTCGTCTGATAAAGAGAGTGACCACAATTTAATTTGAATCTTTCATATATTATTTCATGAACATCAACAAGGCTGATCAAAAATACAGGAAAAACGACAGTAATATGAAATATAATTTAAATATGATTTATTCCTGTGATGCAAAGCTGAATTTTCAGCATCATCACTCCTGTCTTCAGTGTCACATGATCCTTCAGAAATCATTCTAATACAATGATTTGCAGCTCAAGAAGCATTTCTTATATTATCAATGTTGAAAAACTTCGCTGCTTAAAGCAGCACTACAGGTGCATCTCAATAAATTAGAATGTCGTGGAAAAGTTTATTTATTTAGTACTCGTGTATTAAATAAATTCAATGCACACAGACTGAAGTAGTTTAAGTCTTTGGTTCTTTTAATTGTGATGATTTTGGCTCACATTTAACAAAAACCCACCAATTCACTATCTCAACAAATTAGAATATGGTGACATGCCAATCAGCTAATCAACTCAAAACACCTGCAAAGGTTTCCTGAGCCTCCAAAATGGTCTCTCAGTTTGGTTCACTAGGCGACACAATCATGGGGAAGACTGCTGATATCTGACAGTTGTCCAGAAGACAATCATTGACACCCGTCACAAGGAGGGTAAGCCACTGTCTTTTATAAGATTATAAATGTCTTTACTCTCACTTTTTAGCAGTTTAATGCAACCTTGCTTTTATTTAAAATGTCTTTCTTAAATAGTGCACATAATAGAAGTTGATCACTAAAAACTAGAGTTTGGCCAGGAACTTGTTTTCTGCAAATATCTGCATATTAGAATGATTTCTGAAGGATCACGTGCCACTGAAGACTGGAGTAAGGATGCTGAAAATTCAGCTGTGCATCACCAGAATAAATTACATTTTAAAATACATCAAAATAAAAAAACAGTTCTTTCAAATAGTAATAATATTTCACAATATTACTGTTTTACTGCGTTTTAAATCAAATAAATGGTGAAAAAAATCTTCCTTCAAGCTTTTGACTGGTAGTGTATAAATATTAATATGTAATATTTAAATATGTACATTTTTATGTCATGTTAAGTGAAAACAGCCAGAAGATGATGGCTTCTTACCCAAGATGTTGGCACTGCAGATCACCGGCACATGGGCAGTGCTCTTGAGGACCCTCCCCCTTCAAATCCCACGACAGCAGCTCCATCAGGTGATTGGCTGAAATGATGCAGCGCTCACGTTCTATTGGCTTAGAGCTGCACACTGGGAATAGCAGGGCTGAAAATTTAAAACGAGTAGTTAACAATATATGCACTATTCAGCAGGTGCAGATCAAGATGTTTAACAGACAATGTAACATGCTCATATGATGCAAGATAATCATACCTTTATGGAAGGCACAGCAGAACTCGTCCTTACAGTCACTCTGGCACTGACAGATGGTTCCTGCTTCTCCCTTTGTGCTGTTTGCACACTGACCCCACACACACAGCTGTCCCACACAGCATTCCTCATCATTGGTGCATGTCTTGAGAAGAGATGCAGGACATACAATGGGTTGAGACCTCTTAAAATATTTCAGCATACATATTTCATGCTTGTATTGAATCAAACAATGTATTCTTTCAGGACACTGATGCACAGCAATGCATCTCAATAACACTGACTGTAGAATTCACTCATCAAACCACACGTTCCTCACGAAAAATGATCAAAGTAAGAGTATATTTAAGACTAGACATAACCAGACTTTAGTGCCAGGGTTTTGCTCAAGTGTTCTGAGTAAGAATAAGAATCGTTAAGAATGTAATGATTCAGATTCCTTAATGATTCTTTCATATCTGAAAAAGCACAGTGTTGCATTTACTGCTCTCAGCATTGTGTTATAAATGAGATCAATTAAGATTTCAACAGAACAGGTTTAACATCTCAGAAATGTGAAATAATTCTTGTAAAAGATCTTTACACGGACAAAAATACAAACTTGTGGTTCAGTATGTGAATCAGGGCCTGTATTCACAAAACATTTTATCTTACCACTAAGAGTTCTCCTAAATAGCAGTAAAAGTTTTTAGCAAAGAGTTTTATCTTAAAACCTATTCACAAAGCTGCTGAGACAAACTTTTACTAAGGAATAGAGAGAAGTCTTAAAGGCACAATATGTAATTTTTGCCGCTAGAGGGCGTGTATTCAAAATAAACAAAGAGACAAAGGCGTAGTTTGATGACGCTGTGACTGAGTGTGGAATCATGGGAGTTGTGGTCTTCATCCCCACAGCCGATGCAATCCGACGGGACTCGGGCAGAAATCATGTTCATGGATGGGCTAATGATTTGTTAACGTCATTAGCGTCATTATATGTGGCAATTAACATTTTTATTTTTAAACCTTTATTTGAATATGACAACATAAAATCGTGATCTGCAATATTTCTATGTATAAATCTCTGACAGAGCCTGCCCCTATCAGCCAATCACTTTGTGCATAGTTACTACGCATGCTGACATCATCCATAGCAACGAGGTCAACCCCGCCCTTACTCTTAGCTTAAGACTTCTCTCTATTCCTTAGTAAGTATTTGTCTCAACAGCTTTGTGAATTGGTTTTAAGAGAAAACTCTTTTACTGCTATTTAGGAGAACTCTTAGTGGTAAGATAAAATGTTTTGTGAATACGGGCCCTGGTTCATAAGAGTCATTTAGGATTCAGACTCCACTGGTTGTGCGGCATGCTATTGATTCACTAAAAAGAATTGTCTCACATGAGTCATTTGTTCAGGAATTGGACTCCACTTGTTTACATTGCAATTGTGTGCTAAAAAAAATGGCTAATAAGAGTCATTAGTGTGAGAATCAGACTCCTCCACTGGTTGCACTGTATGTTATTGATTCACTAAAAATAAAAAGCTCAAATGAGTCATTCATTAGCAAATCAAACCATGCAGGTTACACAGTATGCTATTAATTTAGTAAAAAGTACTTTCTCATAAGAGTCATTTGTTAGGGAATCAGACTCTACTGGTTGTTCTGTATGCTATTGATTCACTAAAAAGAACTGGCTCAAAAGAATCATTCATTAGCGATTCCAGCAAATCAAACTCTGCAGGTTGTGCTTTATGCCACTGATTCACTAAAAAGAACTGGCTCATAAGAATCATTCATTAGCGATTCCAGCAAATCAAACTTTGCAAAGCAGCTTTACAGAACATTAAGTTTCTACAATATATTTAGTAGTAGCTTGTCAGTGGTGACTATGTCAATGACTTTATGCTACTGATTCACTAAAAAGAACTGGCTTGTAAGTCATTTGTTCAAGAATCAGACTCCTCAGGACATGCTGTATGTTTATTACTATTTATTGCTTCATCTCAGTGCAGGCCTCCAATGTATTTTTTTCACCCTTTTATTATCTGCTAAAAGAAAATCTTAGAAAACTATTAGCACAATGTTCTATACATATGTTTATGTTTGTTCAAAGCCTTAGCAAGGCTCTCTAATAAGCAGACACAGTTTGTTTTGATTGGGTGTTAGAATCTGCTTCAACAATATCCTGCAAGAGTAATGCACATCTGTATTCTGCTTAGTTGGCTCCCCTACTTCCTGTGCCGCGAGGTGAACTCAATATGTCCTATCTTGGGCCGAAGAAGCTGCTCATATTTAGCAATCTGTGCACTTTGATGTGAAACCCAAAGGAGAAACGCTTCGGCATATCAGATTCCAGGTTCGCTCGTACTGCAATGCAGTCACAATGCAGGCTCAGTTGCATCATGTTATTGGAAAGCCACATTACTGCGTATTATATTTGTGCAGAGACCCAGAGAAAGCAGAAAATAATGAGCAAATGAAAATAACTACGAACTAGGCTGAACACCTAACATGTAATAAGCAAACTAGATGATCTCTTACTGGATAATAGCAGAGGTCAGTTGTACTTCAAATGTGCCTGGTCTGTGAAATTCGAAACCGCTTACCGCATCAGTGTGTTTGCAGGGCAGACACTTGGAGCTCTGTGTTTCGTAGAGACAGTAGCTGCCCTTATTTACTCACCCTCATGTCATTCCAAACCGGTATGACTTTCTTTTTTTTTTTGCAGAACACAAAAGATATTTTGAAGAATGTTGGTAACTAAACCATTCTAGTTACCATTGACTTCCATTGTGTAGAAAAAAATCTCAAATTATCTTCAATTATGTTCCACTGAAGAAAAAAAAAAAAACGACATGAAATTACACAAGAGTGAGTGAATAATGAAAATTTTCATTTTTGGATGACCAATTGTGATTTTAGTCAATATCTGTTTGGTTGTCTATAGGCTAGTACACTCCTAAATGTTTATTTTTGCAAATATACATGTTTAAAATGGAAAAACATCATCTGGAAAAAATAGACCAAAATATTCATGACTCATCCTGCACTACACAGATTTTTGTCCAATCAAATGCTGTCTAGAACAAATGTCCCTCCCTCTTATACCACCTGCAACTGACTAGCAAATCCTCATTCATGCGATTTTATGTCTATTAAAGCAATAAGCCCCAAGAAGCCGTGGTTTACAGTGAATTTATAACAGCTAAGGGGCATTGCAACACCCTTAGCTGTTATAAATTTACTGTAAACCACAGCTTCACGGGGCTTATTGCTTTTATAAAACGGTTATTCCATATAGCCTACGTAGTAAGGTTTCACAAAATAAAACAGAGCAAATAAAGTGTAATGATATTAATAAATACATGATTCTTCCGCTTCTACATCCCCACATTTAGGCTGATGCTGAAGTGTTGGACAAAAAGTTTTTTATCCCTTAATGCTCCATTTCCCTCCTTTTTCATCCTGGTTCATAAATATTTAACAGAGAAAAAGTAATTCCTTCCATTACCTTTAGAAGAATCAAACGAGTGATTCAAACCTATTAAATGCAATCACTGCAATTATATTATTATAAATCAGACTCATAGCGACAGTTTATCCAAAAATGAAAATTCTGTCATTTACTCACCCTCATGTCATTCCAAACCGGTATGACTTTCTTTTTTTTTTTGCAGAACACAAAAGATATTTTGAAGAATGTTGGTAACTAAAGATTCTTCCGCCAAACTATGTAGTTCCTCAGAAATGGTTGTGGTTCCAACAAAGTGGTTGCCGAGCAACACACAAACGTAAACAAAGGTGTATGTTTGTAGAGTAATTTACAACAGCTTCGAACGTGGCTCAACCAATCAGAATCAAGGACCGTAGAACTATCTGTTTTATAATAGCTATTTTAAAATGGGAGGATGAGCCTCTGGAACTTCCTGTTTCAACAGGAAATACATCAATACAGGATGGAAACCAGTGCTTTTTGGGGTCATGAAAATAATTCTCACTTCTGATTTAATTTATAAGGTTTATAAATTTATGGTCATTTTCAGATCGCTCAGATGAGTACATAAGATATTTTAACCCTATAAAGCCTTTAATATGCAATGTCGTAAAATCTTTTGATATGCAAAGTTCTCATGCCACTAAATGATCAACATTAAACTTTTGCTGGAAAACCATCTAATTGATTGGTTATGGCAAACAAGTCTTTTTTACTGTGAAATCTTAAATGATTTTTATAAAGTAAACATACAAATAATTTTTATATTGTTAGTAATATAAAAGTTTTTATATTTAGTTTAGTCCTCTAAATAAAAATGAGTTGTTGTTTCCTTCTCGAGTATGAGTTCCATATTCTCCTATAACATACTATATGAGCCTTAAAATATAAAATATGATACTCAACAAAAAACATGCAAACTTTTTGGAGAATATTGTTTACATTTTATCTGAAGGTGCAATAAACTGCTCAATAAACTACAAACTGGCTTGTGCTTTTGGTTTCTTTGTCCGAGCTTCCTGGACGACTGGAATTAGAGGATTTAAGACATCAAATGCATCCGTAAAGACGAGACGTAGACGAGATCCATCGATTATCTGGCATTATCTTGCCTTGTCAGCTGAACTGTCACCTCAGATCCAGAACCCTGCCATCTAAAAGAGCAGGGCAATACACAGCAGACAGCCTTATTTCCTCTTCCCGAACACTATTCCTCCTGACGTCTCTGAGAAGATGTGTGCAAATAAAAGGGATTTGGTTGTGGCAGCGTCTGGCTGAGCAAGATAAATACCAGGTTTTTGAAAAACAATTAGACAGCAAGATAGATGGACAAGACAGACAGCTTACGTGATCAATGCTGTTCTCTTTATCTCTGGGTTGTATGGTTGTCAAGTTGTTTGTATCTTCGGTTGAATTGTCCGTTGTCTGGGAGTAAAAACACAGAAATTCATTCAGTCACGTTTAATATTATCGTGCATTTAATGTGATGGACATTCATTTTAAATATATTCAGATTGTACATTATCCCACTTATCACTTAACACATTAATGAATAAATGGACTCAAAATAATGATTTGAGTTATACTTTTAGTATGTGAGAAGAAACTGGAAAATGACACATTAGAAAGCTAATGATATGAAAAGCCCCGCCCCTTGAGTTGACGGGATTGGTTACATGTTTGTGATGGTAGGAAACGGACTGTTTCAAACCGCGTTTTTGAGACTGTCTTTGGTATACTGCAGATTTAAGGCGAAAATGCACAGCAAAGGTTTTGAATTTGCAAACTTGATTTTCACCACAGGGGGTCTTTAAGTGGTCATTATGCCAAATGATCTGACCAATCAGAATTAAGTACTGTGGAGAGCCATATAACTGTATTTAAACTGCCTTACTGAACCAGACAAAAGCTCTTTACCCACCTTATTGATTCTCTCAGCAGTATAAATGGATTGATTCCCAGCTATGATTTCATTACTGCTGTAATTTTGGAGATTTGAAGAGACACTGTGCGGATGGAGGCTGGATTTTGCTGTCTCATTGTCCATCTGAGAAAAAAAAAAGAAAAAGGAAAACGCTGCAATAAGTACAATTTCCCAGCTATCAAATGAGCTATTTCTACATTAAGTGACGCTTAAAAATCACTTTCATTGATGTAAAGGTTTCCACAACTGGTGACCAATGAATTTCCATAACTTTTTCAGTTCTTGATAACTGGGTAAGTGGGATTTAAATAAATAATTTTATAGACTGTCCTCACAAAGAGCAATTTCTTACTAATTAAACTTTTTTAGCTCTGGGCATATATAACTAAAGTATTGTATGATTTGCACAACTTTATAATTCTTTAGAATGTGAAACTTCATAATGAGTTCCCTCACAGTGGGAACTGTCTAAAGGTTTAATCAGTAATATGAAATTATATTTTTTAAACCACTTTAGATTTTACCACATTAAGCACATACCGATTTTACCTGACTATATATTTTTGTGTAAAGAGGTAAAAGGTCTATAAGATAGACTGATAATCAATTTAACCAATATGTATACTTATATTCACTTCATGGTCATCAGTTTATATATATATAAATAAATATAAGTTGATGAACAATGGCAAATTTGGGAGATCTCTTAAGAATAACACCTAACAATGGTATTCACAGGTAAAACAGTATGAAAACGTGTAGTTTAAGATTATGAAAATAATCCTTACTGGTCATAACAATATTAGTCAATCTCAGTTTATATGAAAATTTCACTCTGCTTTCTAATATCTCATAGCATGTCCATACTATCTAATTAAACTGTGATGGATCATTTTTAGGAAAACTCTGCTCAGATTTGGCATGTGCTGCAGCCAGTGATGCTATTATTAAAACTCAAAAGCTATTAGTTATGAGAGATGTTTAAAATCATTCCCCAGATGTACTCTGAGAGAGATTCATTAGTGGAGAACAATAATTGGGCTGTATTTTAAAGCAAAAACCTGATGCACCGCGTCCTCCAGCTTCTGCTGCGTGTCCTCCATCAGTTCCTCCACCTCTTTGAATATATCGCTCAGTGGCGTTTGTCCTTCTTCAACATTTGTTTCCATGTTTGCAATGATGTCCATGTCTGTTTTAGATATCTCGGGGACAATTCCTTGGACGATGGCCAGGCACAGGCTAAATCCGAGCAGAAACATGTTGACAGAGCGGCTGGTGTCTGTGCAGTGTGTGTGTGATCAGAGAGCGGCTGGTGTCTGTACAGTGTGTGTGTGTGTGTGTGTGTGTGAGAGAGAGAGAGATCAGAGGAGCTCCAGCTGCACGAGGCGAGGCGGGGCGATGCGCATCCACATTAACACAAACCTCTTTGTACTGCATCTCTAGCTATTCACATCTACTGCATGTGGGAGACATTCAGTGAATTTACGCGAATTTGACATATGCAAATCAAGTGTGACGAGCAATTACAATATTTGAGTTAGACTATTTGATTCACAACGTTTCGTATTCAGTTTTTCCTTAGTTTGTGGCATTTATTTTAGGCTTTATTTATTTGTATTTACCTAGATGTAGGCCTCTTTTTATTTAAAACATATTAGGCTATGATAAACAAGCAATCAGGCGCACTCATTTCCCCTTATTAAAAAGTGCTACGCACAAATAAATTATTATCATTACTAATACTATTATTATTATTATTAGCCTATTTGTATTTTTTTGTGCATGGAAAAAAGTCATAATGTCCGAAATTGCAATGGTTAACAATACTCACACACAAGGAATGTTAAAACAAGAGTCTGTTTAACACTTTTGATGTTAGCTATTTTCAGTGTTGGGAGTAACGCATTACAAAAGTAATAATATTACAGTAGTATATTACTTTTTGCTGTAACGCAGTAATATAACGCATTACTAATCAAATTTGGGTAATATTATTACTCGTTACAATCTCAGTAACGCAAGTTACAACAACGTATTTTAACTCAAAATTAAGTGGTGAATTTACCAACACCGCAAAACAGCACCAGAGAAAAAAATCCCGCGGGTAAAATAGTTTGTCTATTTCCTGATGCTGGAATTAAATGGTTGAGATGACTGCAGAGACGGATTCTACATTTGTGAGATGGACACACTCCTGTTATTTTCAGTTCATCGGAGAAAAGGATAAGAATGCATGGTGCAATATGTGCGAAACCAAACTCCCAACATGGAGAAATAGCACGAGTAAAACCTGGAAACACCTAGACTGGTGCCACTAACACTAAGCTATCGGAGAGAGAGCTGCGGGGTCGGAGAAGAGAAAAAGACGGCGGACGAGCAACAAAAATTAAGTTTAACTAAAAATAAAATCTGTTTTTATTAAATCATAGCCTATATATAAAATGAATGAATGTGCGAAATATTTGACTTCAATAGCCAAATTAACAGATTAACAAAACGAAAGGAAAAGACTGAGAGATAGGCTATGTTGCTGAGTTTGGTTCATATGCTATTTGTGTGGCGCGGCGCTCTACGAAAGTCCAGGGAAAGGAAACCGAGATGACAGAAATAAAAGTAAACACATTGCAGTTTCGAATGATCTGTATGACCAAAAATAACAGAGTATTTTTTTGTTGTTTGTTTCCGCTGTTCGATCGCGCCGGCGCCTCACGCACACACATACAGCATTGCAAACGTTGCAGCCTGTTCATTATCAGAATAAAATACAGTCAACCAAACATATAGATACACTGGTTAATTTAAATAGTGCGTAGCCTACTGCGTAGTACAATCCGTGTCGATCAGCCTGAGCTCGGGCCAAACACACATTTGCTCATGTGACGAGGATGTTTTTTAAGTGCGTTAAGTAAGCTTGGATTACATAAAGCATTCAAATACATCGCAAATATGGACACATTTAATTGGATTAATGCCGAATGAGAGAGGTAGGCTGCGCGAGAACGCCGTTTGCTTTCAGTTTCGCATTGAATTAGCCTAATTCATTTTGGCTTGTTTAGCAACTTATATTTTTCATTCTTGTTTTCTTCTGAAACCGTTCAAAATAGCCTATAGGCTAGGTATTGTGTTTATTGTTTGTACATGATAATATTTCGCTTTATTTACCAGTGTTATTTATGAATGTAATAATGCGATTTGTGCTTACTATATTTTTTTTAACTAAACTACAACGTAACATTAATGTAGACCTACATACCGGTATCTAAATATGATTTCATATTTTATGCTATATAGACCTACCACATTACACTCCACTGAATGTAGTATGAACAGCAATAAACTACATTTTGGCATTTTACAATACTTATGTGGATATTTTGGATGAAAGTAACTCAAAAGTAACTCAAAAGTAGTGTAACGCATTACAATTCAGAGACAGTAATATTGTAATGTAACTAATTACTTTCAAAAGACAGTAACTAGTAATATATAATGTATTACATTTTGGAAGTAACTTGCCCAACACTGATATTAAGTGTCTTTTGAACCTCAACTAAGCAGAACAAAGGTGACAGTGGCAAGGTGCCTAAACTCCATCAGGTGATACAAATGGGGGGGAAAAAACATGAGAGATTGTAGGACTTATGCTTCATTACATTTACATTCTGCTACATGTTCTTTGTATGCACACATTTCTTCAAAGCAATCACTCTGAGCCCTTTACACCAAACCCAGTCACAGTTTACTCACAGCTCACACTCATCATCACACCTGACTTCCTCACCAGGACTCGACCAGTTTGACGGATGGCTGGCTCTGAAGATTGGTGGGTAACAAGGTGACTTCCCTCATCGTATTGGCCAACCTCACTGCCAGTTCTTTCCTCAGAAACATGTAGGAGGTTTTTTCACATGCATTTTCCCTGCCTGGTTAAACAAGAGGCAAGAACAAGTTACTCTTTGTTTTCCGATGTTGAGGCTATATGTATGCATGAGTGTGCACTTCTACAGCAGAATTACAACTATTGTATACTGCAAAAGATTATCAATCAAGATTATCAAAAGAATTATCAATCAAGAGCACTAAAAAGGAATGTTACACCTGAAATAGTATATATTATACACACTACCAGTCAAAGTATTATTATTATT